GGGGGGCGCCGGCCGAGCCTGCCCAGCCCTGAGGCTGCCGGCTGGGCGACGGGCGGGCGGTGTTCGGCTCGCGGCCCCAGGAGGCGGCAGCACCGACCCCAGCAGCCTCGCGCCGGGAAAAGGACAGCCGCGGCGGCGGCGGCGGCGGCGGCGGCGGCGAAGAAGGAGGAGGAGAAGGAGGAGGAGGCGGAGGAAACCCGGAAAAGGGGCCGAACTCACGAGGAGCGGCCGCCGCCCAGCCCGGGGCCGCCCAGGCCCACAGCGCCCCCTGCAGCGCGGGGGGACCCGCCAGGCGGCGCCGGCCCCGGCCCCGCCCCGCCCCGCCCCGGGGGTCCCAGCTGCCTAGTCCTGGGCCTGGCGGGGCCGCCTGCCATGAGACACCCCGGCCACAGCCACCGCCCTGGACGTTTCTCCCTCGAGCCCGCACCCTCTCAAGATGTTCTAGCGATGCGGGTCCCCAGCCCTCCACCGCTAGTCACCCACAGTTCACGCACCCAAGACTTCCCACACTGACCCTGTCTTAACCCTGCTGTCGCCTAGCTGTTCCCATCAGGTCTTCCCTAATGGTCCCCACCTCAAAATTTTCCCTCTCTCTCAGAAACCCACCCCACCTCCTCTGGACCCTGCCCTATCACCCACAGACCTTGCAACCCCAAAATTTCGCGTTTTCTCTTCACCCAGAACCTTCCTTTTCCTGCACCTTCTCCCTAATTCCACCTTCCCCAAGTGAACCCTCTGAATATTCTCTTGGGGCACTGGGCTCAACTTGTGAAGTTACTGTTTTTCCCTTTGTAACTAATAAGTGATTCATAGGGAGATACTTTAAGACTTAGTAAATATCCAGTCTTTCTTTGGGAATAGAGAGCGTCAAGGAAAATGGTCTGGTCTGAAGGGACAAACTAGGCTAGGGATGGAGTGACCAACCAAACTGGCCTGTTTGATGTCATTGCCTCCTAACCATGAGTTAATTTCTCTCTTTCAGCCATTGGGACATTTTAAAAAATCGTTTTGCTTTGTTGAGACAGGGTCTCCTTTTGTAGTTCAGGCTGGCCCTGAACTGTCTATGTAGTGCAGGCTGGCCGAGAACTCTTAGAGCTCCTCCTGCCTCAGCCTTCTGAGTGCTGGGATTACAGGTGTGTTCTACCACACCCGGCCTCATTGAGGCATTTTTTTGGTGAGAATGTGACTTTCTTTCTAGGAAAGAAAATAAAAATTTGAGCGTTCCAAGTTCTAATGAAGTACTATGTAATAAAACATGCTAGTATTTCAATCTCTGGGGCTAGTTCTGTTGTGGGGAATAATATACTTTTATATTTAAAAAATGTCAAAAATAATCCAAAATCACATCTTTTTAACATTCACATCATCATCATGTGTAACAAGGGCTATGACATTGCCTTCTATTATGTCTTGCGATACCTAGACACAAGGCTCCCTGAGTCTGGGTAGCGTCATTGTGGCTTTCCTGGCCGGGAACCTGCCTGACACATAAATTCCTGACATTCAGCATGCTGGTGTTTCCTGGTGTCCGGGTCACTTTCCTCCATTTTTTAGCATGACCAAAGGGAAAGTCATGGTAGCTATGGAGGTCTTCTCCATCTTGGCCTCCAGTGTAGCACTCCTAGGCTGTATCTTTGCCCCCAAGTGCTACATTATTCTGATAAGGCCTGAGCTGAATGCTTTTAAAGGATTAAAGGACAGAATAGATATTAGAAGAAATAGGAATTCTAAAGTTTTATCTCATAAAACTCCATCACATTTTTAAGCTTTGGGCAAAATACTCCACAATTTTGAGTTGGAGTATTTATTATAAGCTAATACCCTCCTTGACTTATATATCAGCAAAATTCAACTCCTTTTTAAGAAGAATAATTCTGTGAAATTTACCTCAGCCATCAGTTAAGTCTCAGCAACACAAATGCCACCTCAAAACAATGGTATCCCTAAAACTATAAATTTTGAATTAATTGCTGTGTTTTACTTATTAACTAGTAGGTATTGTCCATTTTCATAGATTGATAAAATGACTAAACTATGAATAACTTTAATCTGTTTACTTTGTAATTCTTCAGTTTTATAATATTTTAACATCAGCTTTGTATTTGTACTGTACTATATTATATAATGTACTGTATTTGGAAGTTTTCCTAAATGGAAGTCTTAGTCAAGTTAAATTTTTACATAGGAATAATACAATATCAAAAATGACGTATTAAATCATCATTGTTTTACTGTTTTGAAATTCTATATTTCTTTAATAGTTTCTAATACAGTTTTAGTTTTCCTGACAAATAGTGCTTGTGCTTGTTTATGAAGTAATGCGATATTTAGATGTGTGTGTACAAGGCAGAAAGTTGAGATCAGAGTATTTAATACATCTATTGTCTTATGCATTTATCATTTCCTTCTGCTTTCAAGTCTCACCTTAAAGGTCACTTTATCTAGAGTTGATACTTTCCAGCCTCAGAACTCTATCCATATCCTTCATAAACTGCATGGCTTGACATGATTTGTTTCCTGGTTTATTGTCTGTTCCCTCCCCTGTAAAGACTGCATGAGAAAGGATGGATCTAAACTTGATGGTGGCTCACCCAGCATTTGCCACAGGAAGAGGCCTTGAGTGAATACAGTGCTGTCCCACAGAAAACTTGGTTACAAAGGAGAATGGGAAGGTCACCACACTGATCGTAGATCAAAGCTATCAATAAGGCACCAAACGACCCTCTGATGTTCTGCATCAAGGAGGGACACATTGCCCTTGTGGCACTCTTGCCAAAAACGTTGAATCTGAATATAATCAGGGGAACACAATCAGACAAATCCAAGCTGGGTGGGCATTCGGCAAAACAGCCAGCCTGGATGAGGGTGAGGGGAAAGAGAACCCTCCTACATTGCTGGTAGGAATGTAAGTTAGTACAACCACTATGGAAATCAGTATGGCGATTCCTCAACAAACTAAAAATAGAAATTCTACTCCACCCAACTATACCTCTTCTGGATATTATCCCAAAAGAAATAAAGACATCATTGTACAGTGATACATGAATATCCTTGTTTATAGCAGCACAACTCACAACAGCTAATTCTTGGAAGCAGCCTATATGTCCATCAGCAGCTGACTGGATATAGAAAATGTGGTGTATATATATACACAATGGAGTACTACTCTGCCACAAAGAAGAAAAATTTCAGTCATATATAGGAAAATAGATGCACATTGAGATCATAATGCTAAGTGAAAAAAATAAGACATAGAAAGTTAAATATTCCACAGTTTCTCTTATGTAAGAAACTCAAAGTATAAACAATTTAAAGAGTAAAATAAAAGATAATAGAAAACAGGGAGATAGACCCTTTGGAGATGGGCAAAGGATCAGGGAGATGGGAAGATGGGGAGAAGGGGGGAAGAAAAAAGGATCAAGATGGAATATGTATATGTACCAGTTCCCCATGATGAATGTATTTATTTTGTATAATAAAACATATACTAATTAAAAAAGGGGACCCCAGCCACCCAGGACTCTTCAACAATATCAACACGACAAACCTGCAGTAATGACCTTGATTAAAGGAGCCTGGGAGACAGAAGTAAATGAAGCACACTTGTCAGATTCTGGATTAGATTTTGGATTTTAGAAAGGAAGGAGTGGAAGAGGTGAGAAAGAATGCAGCTAACTGGGGGAATTTGAATAAAGGGTGTATATTACAAAATGGTATTTTCAATGTCAGAGTTTGTGAGTGTGATCATTGTATTGTGAATATGCAGGAGAATACATACCCTCAACTTTAGGAATTCCATGCCAAATGTTTAGAGAAGAAGTATTATAATATTCACAGCTTATCAAATGGTTTCGCAGAAAAACACAAGTTCCTCAGAACATAGGCATACAAGGGAGAAGAGATAATTTTGGGGGAAATGTTGACTATAAGCGAATGCAATTAAAGAGCACAGGAGTGTGCGACTTTTTTACAAATTTGAAAATTTTCAAAATAAAAACTGGAAGAAAATAAGTGAGCATTTATGGAATAGATGGACTTTGGAATTTAATTTCCAAAGCTGCCAACCTAGGCAGTGGTGTGTGGTGGCACATGCCTGTAATCCCAGCACTTGGAGGCTGAGGCAAGAGGGTGGCCACAAGTTTGAGGCCAGGCTGGACTACATAGTGAGTTCAAGGCAGCTTGAATAACATTGTGAGGCACTGTCTCCACAAAAGGAACCTGCCAACCTTCCTAGTTCTCTCACACTAGAAGGCACAAACATTCTCAAGACCTAATGACATTTTAGGATTATTTTCCAGCAGGTCCCTATGAATTAGTTCAGACCAGAGATTCTTGATCCTAAATCTTAGATGAGCTTCTTGTGTGACCCTCGACACTGCAAAATTTGCGTGTGTGTGTGTGTGTGTGTGTGTGTGATACTTGTTCTTTCCTTAGCTACATCAGATTTTCAAAGGAACCCATGACCTGAGAAGGATTCCAACCATTGATCCGGCTGCTATGTCCAGCCCAGGCTGGGGCCCCATTCTTCATCTCCACCCTTGCCCACCTCTGACCCCACCCAGGCTCCCTGCTCCTTCCTTTCGACACCTAACCCACACCCATCTCATGCAACCTGATCCTACACCTGCAGGATGCCTGAGGATTCACCCACACACTGCTCTGGTGCAACACACTCTAGATTTGGCTGACTCTTCACTCACTCAGCCCTGAAACCCACAGGCAGCCCTCCCACGGCCAAATGGA